TAATAGATTGAGGATTTTTAGTAGATTGAGGAGGGGAATTATTATTAGAACGAGGAGGGGGAGAATTTTTAGTGGATTTCTGCGAAGAATCCTTTTTAGGTAACTTTTCTTTAGATTTTTTGATAGATAATTTATCTTGATAAGAAGCCGGTTGAAGTGAATTATCAACAAGATTTGTAAGATTTGTATGAATAGTATCATCGTTTAAAACCTTATCAACATGATCAACCTTATCAACCTTATCAACAACTTTAATATCAAGTTTCTTATCATTGGTGGATAACCCGTTTTCGTTTACACTGCCACCGCCACTACTCCTAACGATTATACTTCCGTCCTTGGCATGTTTACTAAATATCAAAGCCTCTAAAACTCTAATTTTTAGAATAGCCTTTTGATTTTCATTACGATAACTTTGTAAAGTAGACTCTTTTTGATTAACAATATTTTTTAAAGCTTGAATAGTTAATCTAGAATGTTCGAGTTCTAATAAAAGTTTAATATTTTGATTTTTTAGGAAAGAATTATCAACTTTTAATCGAGTTAAAGAAGTAGCAGAAGATTTTCTTCTTGATTTTTTCGAACCAGAACCCATGGAGTCGGAATGACGGCCTAATCTTGAAGGAGGACGACCAAAAGGAGCATACATATAATCTACATCCATATCACAATCATCTTCAGAGTCAGTTGAATAATAATCAACATCATCTACAATATCATCGATATCATCATCATCATCAAGGTTCGAGTCACTATCATCGGAATTATGTATATATGATGATATCTTCCTCTAACTCAAAAAAGATTTGTAGACTTTTTCACGACATACAAAAAAAAAAAACGAACATTTTATATACTCATAATTATGTATCACAACTTTATAATAGGATTAATAGGATTTGGTTACCTTAAAAAAACTTTTTTTTAATAGGGAATATAGGATTTCCTTTTTTTAAAAAAAAAAATTTAGGACACTTTTTTTAATATGGGTTTCTTGAAATTTTTTTGAACATTATTTTGAACATTTTTTTTAATGGTTGTGTGATTTTTAATTAATAGTTGTTAATGGTTGTGATGAAAAAAAAAAAAAAAAAAGAAAATACAGGTACATTATAGTGTAGTTATTTTTCTAGGATATAAAATTTCAACTGTGTATATATGTAGATATTTTCTTTCTGTTTTCCTATATAGTTTTTTTTTTGAACCCTCTTTTTTTTTTTTTGGTTTTATTACATGCTAGGTTAATTCAAAATTAGGTTTAATGTAACGAGCATTTTACCTTACAAGGATTATCCGTATATGGAAGTGAGGTTGTTTTTATAAAAAAAAATATATATATATATACATATATATAACAAAAAAAAAAGGAGAGAAAAAAAAAAACTTACGACTTAATAATGGTAGTTATGATTGATGTTAATAAATTAAACGAGTACATGGGTACTCTTTTTGCAATATTAGAAAAATTAAATATTTGTTATTGAATTTTGAATTTTGAATTTGTATGATTAAATT